AACTGTTGTACTTAGACGACCAAACTTAGCCAAATTTTGCATGTGATCATCATGCCATTGACATTTACGAGTAAATGGATGTTTAGTAAATGTTTTGTTTACACAGTAAACCTACAAACAAAGATATGTTTAGAGACCCTCCCAGCCTCTTGGACAGACACCTGTGCTTCGTACGTCCGGGTTTGTTTTCCGACTTCCGTTCGTTGGAGGATCTCCATCTTGCTGTTTATTCATCTTTGATGTAGACCGGCATTTTCCCACAACACCCTGCTCCAGCTCTCACAGATGACGAAAATGGCGGATAACTCATCTTCGGTAGGTTTTCGGGAGATATAGTTTTATTTTAGGGACATTGGCCAGTTTCAGGACGCAAAATGACGCATTGTTTTTTACAGGTCGAGATTGTTGAGGGTTGTCGCCTCCCCGTTCTTCGTAAAAACCAAGAACACGAGGACGAATGGCGTAAGTATTGTCCGGTTGTTTTCCAGCGCTAAGCTAAGTAATGCTAATAGCGAGCCTCAGCTGTTGTTGAGAGACGCCACGGCCTCCAGGTAGTCCACTGTAAACACACTCACAGGGGACACATGCAGCCCTACAGTGTCACCGACTTCAATGTAAATGCTTGCTTAAAACCACTTTTACATCCAACAAGAAATGAACGAGCCAACCCTCGAGACATTTTTATAAAATGCGTTTTATTGGGAAAAGACGCCGCGAAATCCATCTGACACCAAGGCTTTTGTTTACAAATGTTAACAGCTCATTACAGCAGCCGTACTATTCTGACATCGCAGTGTAAATTCATATCTTTAAATGACATTATTTATCCTCTCATCCGTGTTAGTTTTGCGCAGTGGTTCTCAAACCTTTTGGCTTAATTTTGACCTTTTAACCCAAAGTCTAGCTGTTCACCCTAACCTCTTGTCACAGGGTGCATGTGTCTATAAGAGTAGTGAGTAAACAGCTTACAGTTGTCTTATTTACACTGATGTTATACATATTCAATCTTATGCAATATAAACGTTAACGGCAAAAAATGTGTAGAAGCGACATTTCTTCTTGTGGCACCTTTTTATATTATCAAAATCAAATAATAATGTCAGAAGATGACGTTAAAAATCCCCAGAGCTGGGTTAAGGTGGGTTACTTGTGTTGTCTAAGAAACCGTCTAAAACCCAAACAATATTCAATTTACACTAATGTAAAGTGAAACAAAGTAGAATCAAATATTTTTGCATTCACTGTATGTTAATGGTGTAACTGAGTACTCTAGTATTTGTTTCAGCTCTACCTGCTACCACAGTTTAGTGAAATCTACATGAAGCCTTTAACCCACAATGTCTGTTGACAAGTGTTAAACATGGTTATAATATTGTTTAATGTTTTTCAAGTTCATGTCAGTATTTTTTGTTTGAGTACAGTTCACTGCAAGTTTTAATCTGACTTCTTTTTTTGCAGCGTTGGCTGAGATTTTAAGCGTGAAGGAAGTCTCTGCCAGAAAGCTTTACTATGTTCACTATATTGACTGTGAGTATGTTTTGTGTTATCGCTTGTTTTTCTTTGATATTTTAACTGTTATAGTCACTTTGTAGGCTGAATTACATTACACAGAAACATCACACCAAATGTGTTCTTGTTTGTTTAAAACCGCTTGTGTCTAAAGTCAACAAGCGCCTGGATGAGTGGGTCACAGGGGACAGGCTGGACATGAAGAAGCTCCAGTTTCCTAAGAAAGAAGCTAAAACACCCACCAAGAATGGTCTTTCAGGCTCCCGTCCCAGTTCTCCAGAGAGAGAAGTGGTAAGAGTATGCTACACCACCACATATTTAGAGCCTGAAACACTGCAGTAATACAGTCGGGTTTGGCATTGTCATTTTACCATTGTGAAGACAGTAGTTCATACAATATAATAATGTAAATAATAGAGCCTACATTTTACATCCCAGTTTGGTTGACAGCTGCGACAGTGAGTGATTTTAAAAGATGGCCTCTGGATGTTATTTCCGTCAGACGAGTGAGATAATATATTTCAGACTAGTTAGGCTTTAATGCTTCAGGATACGCACAGACATTTAAAGGTAACGTTGATTTAAATCTCAATTACTTTGAATATTGCGTTCTGTATATAATAACCTGTACGGTGTAGATCGGAAAGCAAGTCCGATTAGTGCTTGTAATCAGTGGTCAGTATTGCAAGCAGCACAAACACAAAGATTAATGTAATGTTTTTATGTGTTCATCCTTTTCACTGGTGGCTGAGCATAGAAAACTCAATGTAACCACAATATATAAGCAGCCTTTTATATGTCAGTTAGTAATGACCTACACTATGTTGCATGATGCAATGTTTTGTTACAATCTACCAACAAATATAAGATGTGTTTGCATACATTCAACCCATCTTCCAAACTTAATATTTGAATCATTTTGGCGAAACAGTTGAGGAATGTGTATTATAGAGAATGCTCCGTTTATAAGAAACATTGCAATCATCAGTTTTAATTCTTACATTTTTGTATTCATATTTCAGATCTGATTTTGATTCCAAGTTCATGTTTAATGCAGTGTTAGTTGTTATTGAAGGCACTCGTTAGATTGTGTACAATGAATACGACGAGTATTACCCTCAGGGTTAACGTGAATGTCAGTTAACCCCCTTTCTTCTCTTCCTTTCTGTTCAATTCAGAGGAAGAGTCTAGATCTCAACGTACAACCTGCCACAGCTCCTTCCAGAGGCAAAACCCTCCCCACACCGGTACAACTTGAACTTACCCATTCTAGAAATGACTGAGACCTTGTTTAAACCTGGTGTTAACATGCATCTTGTGTGATCATACAGCTATCGGGTCATGCTGAACTGCATGGAAATCCAGATATAAACAACCATGACACAAAAAAAGAAGATGATGATCCAGTCGTGCAGATCACATCTGGAAGTGCTTTAACACACAGTGTATCCAAATGTTTGTCAGGTGTATGCACTGGACTTGTCAAGCCCCGTTTCAGCTTCAAATCTGTCAAGGTAGCTGGTATTCTGTCTCTGTTGTAATCTCTCATGTAGTGCTGAAGATTGATTATCCTATGAGCTTTCATTGTCTGCAGACGTTAAATGATTTTTTGTTTCTTTCAAAATCACATGTTCTGAAGCCGCTAACAATAAATTGCACATCAAGGAAAATAAGTTGAAAGTTGTTGATGCATGCCAATTGGCATTTTAGGGGTGTAAAAGACTCCTGAAACCACATGTTTAACTGTATGTGTAAACTCAATGCAGTTGCAGCTGATCTGTGTCTCTCGCATCTTAATACCAGGTTTGAATAGGGTGTAATTCACATTGAACTAGTTTAACCTGGAGATAAGCAAAAATAGTTAAAACCGACACAGTCTTAGCTCAAATCAGTAAACAAACTGCAGGTAATATTAAGATGGCACTCCTTCATGGAATACAAGAGCACCCAACTTTTAGTCATTACATTGGTGTGTATTTTGATAAATTAAACACATGCGTCTGGTCTGGCTGGAATAACAAAATTCTGATTCAGTTCAAGTGTTTGGTCAGTCTGTACTAATTTTAAGCTAAATGTCTAACAACGTTTGTCTGCTGCAGAAGAGGAAAGTAGAGGCCGTCCCCTTGGCGACTCAGGTATCCCCGGCCACCCCTGTGCCCTCCCTGCCAAGTTCAGCTGAAGCCTCTCAGGCATCTGTTTTTCCTGCTGTGAGGGAGACCAACACCTTCAAGTCCCGCGAAGACCATGACCAGCTCTCCTCGCTCACAACAGTAAGGAAAATAAATCGTCTTGGGTTGTTCATTGTTTGAGTTGAAGCCTTTTATTGTTGGCTAAAAGATTTTTCTTTATAACCATAGAACGGCACTGCCCGACGACTAGTCCCGTCACAGCCCGGGAGGAAGCGGAAAGCGAACTGTGGCGGAGCTGAAGAGGTATGTAGCTTCAGTATATTTCATCTTTACAGTTGGCTTTTTATTTTCTCATTTCAAATGTGTATCTTATGTCATAGTCTGCATGGTTTTATCCTCTTATTTTCAGCTATTCTGCACCAATTCTACACCGTAGTCAAACAATATATCCATCTTCTATATCACTATTAGTGGCCAAAATGACCACAAATACTGCATGTGAGCAGAAGTTTTAAAAATGGATTTGCAGAAGAATATTTCAGAAGACAAATCTTAAATTTAATATCAAGAAAAGATCCCAGATTTGTCTTTTAAGAGAAATAAGTATTTCCCTTTTCATTTTACCACCATGCTCATTTCTGTATAAGCATTCATAGAAATCACAAGTGTGTGAGTATGTTGACAAAAATATTTCCCAATCAATACTTTTAATTTGTTAATTTTATGAGTGTGTTACATTACACGGCTGAGAAAAAAAATAAAAATAAAAATAAAAAAAAGACCTTGATTTAGTATGAATGTTGTTCAATTATTTAATAATATATTTCTGACTAACAGAATCAAACATAATGTCGTATAACATACACACAACTATTGGTGATCAAATTCTGTGCTTTCATACAGTTTAATTTCTCCTTTCTTCTCAAATCGTTATGTTCTTTGTTGTGTTTATTATTCATTTTTATGTGAAGTTGAGTTGGTTTATATTGACATTTTTGTTTTCCTACATTTTGAAATGTGTTGCTTTGCCCGAATTAATTCCTGCACCTGAACAATGAGGAGTATTCATTTACATCTTGATATGAGTCATTTGCGTACCAAAAAACAAAACTGTACGACTCCAAATTAATCTTAATATATGTAGATTTTACATTTGTATTTTAAAATGTTCACAATCTTTGACATGATGATCTAAAATGTATGTTCATTGCTGTTGAGAGATTGGTGGCGCAGCAGAAGAGCTGATTGTAACCTTTTGATTATATACGTAAGAAGCTGCCAGTCACACACACTGAGAATCTGAGGTTTAATGTCACTAAATGAGGCAGAAACCAAAGCTAGAAGGTCAGACCTCCGCTGGAGTTTCTGTTCACCCCATCAAGCTACGTGACATGAGCAGCTCAGCTTTTGTATTGAGTTTAGAAAATTGCTGCAGCTGACATCATACGTTCTCACATCATCTCTGAAGAACAGTGGTCAGTGGGTTCATCATATAAGTCAACGGAACAATCTGCCAAACCCACCAAGTAGTTGGTCTAACGTTTGTGTTTGCTCTTTTCTTTACTCTTCATTCATTCTCTAACATCTCCATCACTACTGTGTTTGCCAGTACTGATGGCTGATCCCTGATGAACCTGACCTGTAATCTACTTAAACTCCAAATGTTACACTGAAGTTTAACCTACCCCCTAACCAAACTGTTGGGTGTAAATAGGAATCAATTTATTCCCCTCTTTAGTTTCCAAAAGCCTGTATTTTTGTGTCTTTTTCTGCTAGATGATAAAGGTATTGCAGTATAACAACCCTCAAAGTGCCAGTGTCTTTCTACCACCACCAGAGGTCTGTTTTATTTCCTATTATTGCCCGTTGATTGTGTGCTGCTGTCCAAATTCGACTGTGCCTTAGTGGGTCCAATAAAACGGAGGTGCTGTTTACCTCAGACCCAAGTTTAGTCCTTTTGGTAACATGTACAACCACTTTGATTATACATGTTACTTATTTAAAGAAATCTTAATGTGTAAAAAAAAAAAAAATACATTTACGTCTCAAAAATCTCAATCTCTCAAAATCCATTTTCTCCATTTGACCAAATAACAGCACCAATAGTGTCTAACATGCTTATTGTTTACCACCAGGATTCCCAGGACAGTTCAGACGGCATCCCAACTGCACCCCGCATGACAGGCAGTCTGGTGTCCGACCGCAGCCATGACGACATCGTCACCCGGATGAAAAACATAGAGTGTATAGAGCTGGGACGTCACAGACTGAAGCCCTGGTACTTCTCACCATACCCACAGGAACTCACCACATTGCCCATCCTCTACCTCTGTGAATTCTGTCTCAAGTACCTCAAAAGCCTGAAGTGTCTCCAGAGACATTTGGTAAGAATCATCAGTATGTCACCAGCTTAAACCCTTAATCTCTTGCATCTTAGATTGTTGTACATTGCTCTCATCCTTTTGGGTCTATCATCTTTGACAGACAAAATGTAATCTAAGACATCCTCCAGGCAACGAGATCTACCGCAAAGGCACCATCTCATTCTTCGAGATTGACGGCAGGAAAAACAAAGTTAGTGATACAGGAGGATATTTTTCTCTCTTCTCACCATTTTTTTTTTACCACATTTTTGTTTTTGATTGATATATATCTGTTGTATTTTTCCAGATGTATTCCCAGAACCTGTGTTTACTTGCTAAGTGTTTCCTGGACCACAAAACCTTGTATTACGACACAGACCCCTTCCTCTTCTATGTAATGACGGAGTATGACTCCAAAGGTTTCCACATAGTGGGCTACTTCTCTAAGGTACACAAACAATGCAAAGAATTTCAAACATGAAAACAGTCCTCGATATAAAATAATAACAAACAATAATAATAATACATTTTTACTTTTTGTGTGCAGGAAAAAGAGTCGACTGAGGATTATAATGTTGCCTGCATCCTGACCCTGCCTCCCTACCAGCGGAGAGGCTATGGCAAACTGCTGATTGAGTTCAGTAAGTAGTAACCAAAGAACAAAGTGGCACATAGTTCAGTAGATATTTGTACATTCAAATTCTTTGGGCATTTCCCATGTTTACCTCACCTGTGCTAATTGTCTGTTCACTGTGTGTTTGTCAGGCTACGAGCTGTCCAAGGTAGAAGGGAAGACAGGAACTCCTGAGAAGCCTCTTTCTGACCTCGGTCTTTTGTCCTATCGCTCCTACTGGTCCCAGACGATCTTGGAAATTCTCATGGACCTTAAACCTGACAATGGAGAAAGGCCACAGATTACCATCAAGTATGTAAAAGTTGCATTTCATCTCAACCTTTAATCGTCTCCCCACAATAATTTTCAGACAAGCACTTAACTGATTGTTTCTCTTTTCGTTTTTTTAACCTCCAGTGAGATCAGTGAGATCACAAGTGTAAAGAAAGAAGACGTCATTTCAACGCTTCAGTACCTCAACCTCATCAACTATTACAAGGTGAGAGACAAACGCTGTTCCTTTTCCCCCTTCATCCTCAAACCTGCCCTTTCTGACTGTATCTGCATATGTTTAGCATTCCCCTTCTGCCTCAAAATGGACATTTCTCACCCCCACACTTGCTTTCTGAAATGCAAATATAGTATGGCATGACTGAAATGTAAATGGATAAACAGCAGAGGTTGGTAGCTGGATGACAATCACTGAAAAGCAGTAGAAATGATAGACACAACACTAACCAATGCTAAAACGTTTCAGATGTTTCGGACCTGATTGAGAATGTTTTTTTAATGTCACAATAGGGAGAAAGAATTGGCAGTTTGAAAATGGAAAAAATGTTATTGGATAACTGCCATCATTAATGAAATACGCAATATTTGACACCAGAGTACAGGCAGGTGATATACACTAGTTGGTATCCAGTCAGATCTCACATTGGTAATGTATGCAGTCTGCTCTAGAAAATGTGAGTGACATTCTGTCTGTCAACTGTTGTCTTTGTCTTGTTTCTTAAATCTAGGGTCAGTACATCCTGACTCTTTCAGAGGACATTGTGGATGGGCATGAAAGAGCGATGCAGAAGAGACACTTGCGCATAGATCCAAAATGCCTTCACTTTACACCTAAGGACTGGAGCAAGAGGGGCAAGTGGTAGAGTCCCGGCCCGGTTCACTAAATGCCCTCCCCAACCACCAGATAGCAGACTTGAAACAAACGGTGGATCAGATAAAGGTCTTTGTCAAGCTGTCTCGAGAACACCGTTACCTTTTTGAACCCAGGACTTCTTCAGATAAGAAATGAGGAACATAAAGTGTCACTTGAGATGCAAACGCTTTTATTGTGAATATTCATTATATATTGTGAAATTAAATAGCTCTCAAACTTGGGGACAAAATAGAGACTGGTTAACAGTGACACCGCCAAAAAATACAACACACCTTCTACTGTGTAAAAGATCCTCTTTATGACCGACAGTGCGTTAAAAGTGACTTATGGTGTCTGTTTGATAGTGTAAATTAAAGCCTAAAGCGGCAAACATACACACCACCTGATAACAACAAGTGGGTGGTTTTATAGCTAAATTGAGTTCTACAGTGAATTGCTTCATCTTTTGATGAGTTTACATTAATGTAACACCACAAAGGGGAGTTATTTTCCTTAAATTCAACAAGGAAAGTGTGTTTATCCACATCCTTTGTATCTGCCACACAACAACGTAGATAAAATATCAAAGTATTTATGTATCCCAACAAGGTTTATATGTAAACAGATTCTTTGTGTGAGTCTATTCAATGAGATCATTTTCTTTGTTTTTCAGTCAAATTTGAGAAACTTTAGTTGATGGAAAATGTACTTGTAGCACTAATTTAACAATTGGACAACTAATGTCTGAACAGCACTCCAAATGATCAAAACGTTCTACTTTGAATAGTGATTTTTTGTACAAAGTGTGCAGGCTTCAAAACATCTCTCATGTTCATCTTCCTGGACACCCGGAATACTTTTGAAAACAATACCAAGTGACAGACAGACGGTGGTTACATTTACACTCACTTATTAACAGTGACTGAATGAGATATGTATTGTGAGTGTGTGAACAGGGAAAAGGCACAAGGAATCCAGTTTTCAGATCTGTCTCGAGAGAAAGATACCTGCTCATTTAATTCTTCATTTCACTTTATTGTGTGTTTGACTGTTGTATTTTAATGTCTCTTAACTAACAGAAATGTGGTTGTAATTCCCCGCTACGATATTAAAATAAACAGTTGGGATGCAGATAAAAAAAAAAAAAAATCAACTAGACATCAAGACCTACAGTTATAATGTTGTTTAAGAACCAACACGGTCAATTCAGGTTTGTTATCTTTTCCACTAGTAACTCTGCTTTTCATTTCCCTATATTTTAAATAGTTGGAAGTATTTATGCTCTTTGTGATCATTCAGGTGAATATTTCTTCCTTTTTTCAGATAATCCCCTGTCATGATCATCTGTACAGCGTGCAATGAGACAAATCAGTTCCCACGTTATACATATGTTTCCTGTAACTGTACATACTGAACCTGATTGTAAAAGAAAAACTTAGAAGACAGAAGCCATGTTGAACTGTTAGAGGAATGTAAATTTTGTGTACAGTTGTCTTTGTTGTTTTTTTACTTAATGTAAACTTAACTGGCTGCACAATATCAACAGGAAAAGACATAAAAGTGATATCTTACTTTGAGTTTGTGTTTTATGTTTACATGTCACACAGGATGTTGAATTTACCCTGTTGAAATGATTTAGTATATCTTTAAGTGAAACACAGTTGAGAGTATGATTTGAACATTTGATATGAAAAGCTTGTTGAATTGATAAAAAAAAAACATCTTTAAAAACCCTGGAAGTGTCTTGAATCTTTGTGAATCTTTTGGAGTACAGTGTTTGCATTGGCAGAGAGGTCTGCTGTATATAAAGCTAAGAAAGAAGTTGTAACCACTGGTCAAGTGTAGCAGTCTCCTGTATCCACTCTGTAAAATGCTGAATATACCTGCAGTCAGTAATAACAGATTATCATCTGGAAACAATGTTACAAAGATGAAACCAATGCAATCATTTACAACATGTAAAGTGGACAGTTCATGCAGACCTTCTTAGCAGCTTTGTATAATAGCCACCAGGGGGCAACATTAAATGCCTTGCTCGTGTGTGCACAATCGCATTACCAAAGTTAAAACCACAGGCTAAAATTATGCAGGAGCGATGCTTGGTGAAAGGGGAATTTAATACAACCTGCAACCTGACCATGGTAATTGTATTACAGCTGGAGAGAGACTGAGTACATTTGAACAACAAATGGACACCTGCAGTGGATCAAATGTGGTTATCCAAGCTTACAGGTAGATGCGTAATAACTGTTATAAATAAATATAATAAATGTGATCATAAACTGTGTAAGTAGCCCTAAAGTTACTGCTGCATGAGTAAGTTCATTGATTTTCCTACAGTAGTTCATGGCTGCTGCTACACCTTTAGGACAGAGCAAGGTAGGCAATCAGTCCGACCTGGCCTGTATCACACACTGAACCACACACACACATTTAAGTGCTTACAGATCAGCTGGGTCATATTTAGTTTCTATTGGAATCACTAGACATTAATCTGCACTTTGGCTATGCTCAGGCAAGATGCTGTTAAACTTCTCCAGGTCAGGTTTGAATCATTAATCTCTCTACATTGTTTCTGCACTGCAGCTTTGGTGAGTCTTATCCTAACATCACATCACACCCATTTCTTTCTGCAACTGGCAGAGCCACACCAATCCCCATGAGCACAGAAAGGAATTTCACACTAATCTAATATCCTTGTCACATTACTCATTTGGGAAGTCTTCCTGACATTTAGTACATTTCCTCATCCTGATTCCTGACTGGTGCCACATTATGTTATCTGGACCCCTGAGATCCTAGTATTTTATTTCTGGCTTCAGGTGTTTGGTTTTTTTTTGTTTTTTTTTTGATAAAAGCTCACAAAGAAAATATGTGTACACTAGAGCTAAAACAATCAACGGATAGATTACAACAGAGAATTAACAGGCAACTATTTTGAAAATGTATCAATTGATTGAGTCACTTTGAAAAAAATATCCAACTATTCTTCAGTTTCAGCTTCTTAATGTGCTGCTTTTATTTGTCTTATAAGATTATATACTAAATATCTTTTGGTTTTGTACTATTGTGTCCAATAATGGTTCTATTGTATGAACCATTAATGGATAATTAATCATAACAAAAAATCCTTCTGATTGTAATTTACTTGAATTTGAAGAATGAACCATTTGTATTGTGTTGGGAGTCAGGATAGCTCAGTGTCTGCCATTGTTTCATGTCTCCAGCATGCCATGTAATATAAAATAATAAATAATAAAACAAACGGTAATATGTAATGAGAGGGACAAAACTTTAAAAGACAGACTGTTTCTCTGCAGAGCTGCAATACATGCGGTGGTCTTAGTGGAATATTTCCACATGGTGTCACTGTAGCACTGGTTGTTGTGGTGCTATTTCATTTACAAAGTGACCTCTGGTGTGACTAACAGTTTGAGAAGCTTAGACCATCACAAATCACTGTCCAGCTCTAAACACTATGCATACCATAATTACCAGTAAGTGCAGATTGTATTAATGGCACCAGAATGGGATATAATCTGGGAGCTGACATCAATCAGAATATTCATATTGTGTGTTTCATTTAAATCATTTAGTTCCTGCACCTAAAAGATCCATTAACTCGACTTGTGTTAGGTAAAATTTCACTTGTATTTACCATGTATTGTCTTATTTTTCTGATCAAAACAACGCTGAACGCTGGAGGATGCAAACAAAAAACTCCCAAAAACACCTCCTGACCACTGATGAACACACACCAAGGTATGCTTGTTTTTAAGAAAACTGTTTGACTACTATCAACTGGTCCCTCTGTTTTTATTTTTCTTATCTCCTCAAGACACACACCACCAACAACGCAGGCAGCTTCTCCTCCTCCCCCGTCCCCCTCCAACCTCCCCCAAGATCACAGCCAGTGACCTGGTGGCACACACAGCCATATGGTACGGCCAGGACGAGACTCCATACAGTAATTAGGGGGATGGTGCTGGACACCGCTCCGCTGCAGCGTAGGTTAAGGCAGCGTGAATCCTCTCCTCTCCAGAACATCATTAAATGGTTCACCCAAACTCACAGGTATGTGCTTTTTTAACATGGTGCAGTGACTGATGGGAAAGTCAAGCTATGCTGAAACACTCCTACGCTTTCATTGTTATTAAGCCGGTTTGATTGTTTGTTATGGTCTCGACCCTCCACTGACGTTACGTTTGGGGAGTACACAGAGGTTTCGTCATATAAACAGACTGTCACACACAAACACACACACACCCGCTGCCATTTTCACCTTTGCCCCTGAGTCTGCTTTTGGAGCCTTTATCTCTCTCGTGCAGAAATGTCGGCTTTGCCACAGAAGAATGAGACTTTAAATATACGACACAGCAAGTGTCTCTTTCCATCAATATATTAGTAAGAGGAAGACTGAGAGATTGTGGGAGGTGACGGTCTTGATACAACATTGCGTCAGCGTCTAATCTGCCACATTTCTGGTTGAGCGTGTCACGTTATTATATGGGGATCTCGAGTCCTTGATTCAGCACATTTTCAGTTCAGTCTTGCCACTGAAGCATTTTGAATTTCAGCTTAACAAACTAGGAGCTCTCCTCTTGGCCGCTGCTGTCCGTCGCTGCCTCAACCTCTCTCTGACAAGGAGATGGGAGGGGGGGTAAAGCTGTGTGTGTGTGTGTGTGTGTGTGAGAGAGAGAGAGAGAGAGAGAGAGCGAGGGGAGGAGGATAAAGAGGGGGTTGGCTTTAGTGTGATGTGAATGGAATAGAATCAGCGCGAGAGGGAGAAAGAGGGAGGAGGACAGCACAAATCAACCTGCCTCTTGACTCTAACAACAGAACAGAGAAGCCGGTAGACACATAGATCGGGAAGTGTGCGCGTGTGTGTGTTTGTTGCTTTATTTTATTTTTGGAGAGAGGAAGAGAGCGGCAGACAGGAGGAACTGAAGGAGGAGGAGAAAGAGCCTCACCGTGGAGATAGATAGCAGAAAAATGCTGTCATGGGGAGAGAAGGGGAGGGAGTCGGCAGAGAGGAACAGGATGAAACAAGGCAGGGTCGAGCAGAGCTGAAATGTGGAGGTAAGCCTTTTCTTTCTGTATTGTGATTACGGAGAATTCACATTCCAGCCTCCCTGCGTCCTCTTTCTGATGATAATGAATTCAGATGGATGGATCTGCACACCGTGTTTGCCACATACCTCTGTATAGGCATGCTCTTATGCTCGCACAGTCCAACCAGAGACAATGTATGAGAGCAATAGAGGATATGAAATAATGGCTTGGCATTATCATATCATCATCCAGCTTACCCTCCCTCTGCCTCTCTAGCCATTGTGTTGTTGTCAGCTCTATAAAAATTCATTTTAACTCAGCGAGCTAAGGCTTCCCTGCACATACCATTTACACGCGACATTGTAGGTTTGAATCCAGATCGCAACCTTTGTCGCATTTCATCCTCCCCCCCCCCGTCCACCCCTCCTCGCAACACACCTCCCTTCCCTCCTCCTCTCTCGACACACGAGTCCCACATCATTATTTCTGTCTCTCTCTCTCTACTCATGTGCACCGCTCCAAAGGGCAGGATTCTCTTAAAACGCGTTGTGAATTGCGAAAGAAGCACTGCGAACGTGCGTAGACGACGTGCTGCAGACTCAAGATGACGGCAAGGGGAAGGAGAGGAAGGAGGGAGAGGGAGAGGAGGCTGGGGATGAAACACGAGAGAAGAAAAAGACAGAGAGGAGGAGATGCAGGAAGAAAAAGAGGAGCAGGATATATCTCTAGATATTTTGAAAAGACAAAACAAAGGCATCAGTCTGCAGTGTGCAGGGGATTTGTGTGGATAAAGAGCATTGTAACACTACTGCATGTGATGTGCACAAACAATGATGGAATGGAGAACCAGAATTGGGGTGTTGTTTTCAAGGTGGCAGAGAAAATGAGGGATGCTGGAGTCAGTCCTCCCCCCCACACACACACCCTCCTTACCCACCCACTGCACTCTCTAATTTAGGATGGGGCTGTGTGTTTACGAGATGTTAGGGTTTCAGGGATGGATAAGGCTGCTGAAGGGAAAGAAAGGCAGGGATGGAGAGCTGGGAGGTAGGGGGGAGACAGGCAGCAGCAGCTTACATAAGCCAGTGCACTCAAAGGACGGGCCATTTAATTTACATTGAGCCGCATGGCTCCTCATGCAATGTGGTATTCACTGTGGTTCACATTAGCATTTTAAACAATAAAACGCAGTTCGCCCTGACATGACGGAAGGAAGGATGTGTGATAGCTGAATGTGACTTGGTGGCATTGTGTTTGTGTTCCTGGCGAGACTGGCATGAGGGTGTGTGATGTTTTTCATCAGGGTCAACTTTGAATGCATGGTTGTTAGTGCGTGTGTATGAAAATCCACCCTGTTTTACTGTACCTACAGTTAGTCTCTACGGTGAATGATAAGTATGTCTTCACTGACATAACGGGGCTAACAATATGCAGCGTTATTCATACAACTCAGCTGCTGTTTTGTTCTTCTGCTATCCACTGCACTGCATTTACAGTATACGTCTAAATAGAACAATTCTCAGTCAAACAGAGTCTATCAAACACTTGTGTATTATTTGAAAGCACAGGTGCACCCTGTTGTCCAATTGCTTTCTATCTCTATAAAAATGTAATGACATATTCTTATGCCAAACAAAACTGTTTTATTAATTGCCCGCTCTCCTGAAGACACGTTTTCTAAGTCAAACTGATTGAAATTCACATTGGTGAAGTACTTCAGCAATTAGCGTCACTTGGTTTTCATTATTTTTCATAATCAAATCACTGCAAACAATTACATGTCTGCCTGCTATTACTAAGGAGTTACATCTTTGAATGGTGATGAGAGATAAGACACATTCGGATTAGGGCTGCAATTTCATTTAAGAATTTTCATTATTGATCAATCTGTCCATTATTATATAGTTTGGCCTGACCAACAGTGTAAAAGATATTTAGTTTGCCATCATAGAAACAAAATTAGCACATCATCACATTTGCAAGTTGGAAACAGAGAAAGGACGTTGCCGTTTTTGCTTAAACAATTAATCAGTGATTAAAATTGTCTATTATGGATCCTGTGACATCCGTGATATGAGCATATTTTGGTGTCTGATCTGGTTTGGACACACTTGACGATCAATCCTCCTGAAGTTTCTCCATGAATGTATTAGGACTCAGTCTGTTTGGTGACACAGTTATTTGACACATTTAATGTGTGAAACCAAAAAGACTCCTATAAACTGAAACTTCAGTCGTCCAAGCCCATAGATATAAACCGAAATGTCCGTGACCAAAAAATAGCATACATGCACAAGGGTTCTCTTGTTTTTAGCGCAATAATTTACAACCGAGGGGTGTCTTTCTCCTACGAGAGGCTGCTTTTGTGGGACTTGTACTTTTCCAGGTTGAGTAGGAGGGGATCAGAGTCAGAGGAGTCTCTTGAATCGATCGGCCTACTTTTATTTCCTGCACCAAACAAGAGCCAAGAGATCTTAACTGTATATGTGAGTGTCATGTTGTGGATTCAGATTCAGTTCATATTGTCTAGCAATTATGCCATTGTAATAATACCTAAATGCTCCTTCGGCCTGCAAGCTGTAACCTCTAACATTAGAAACCATCATCATCACTGTGAAACCAAATCATAAATAGATACAAAGAACAGTAGAAGAGAACCGTGTTTTCTTTGCTTGCCCTTTTAAATGCAGGTGGAGAAGTGAATAACCTTTTGTGTGCTTTACACTGAATAATGATGATGACAGTTTGTTAACAGCATCACACAGTTTTGCAGTAAGATTGAGTCACTGTCAAGGCTGTTGGATCCAGGCCGTTGTCTCCTGGTGCTGTTTGTCTGCCAGGATTTCAACTTTAGCTCACATTGTTTGTCTTGTTTCTGTACAGAATGATACTCCTTAAATGACTCTGCAGCTACAGCCAATAGCTAACAGCAGTTAACAATCAGCAGTCTTCACTTGACAATACATGCAAAATACAGGCTGCAAAAAAGTTATTTCCAGTTTGTCCATGTATGTATATTTGAACAAAAACCCAGTTGTCCAAAATCCAGCGCAGATATGAGAAAAGTGACTTTGATGTCCTTTTGTCATTGAGATTTAGATGTTGCAAGGTTACCAGGCAGATTTTTTTTCTGTTCTGAGTCAGCATCATATCATTCCTCTCATTTGGAGCCATTTTGCATGGCTACACCCCGGCAGGCTCCCTGTGGGGGCTCAGCGAGGAAGGCAGTTGGACAGGCGGAGCCTTCTCCTCATCGGATGGCAGGATGCTGGCAGTGTAAGCCACTGGGTGGATCCTCTTAGCTCGTGCACTCTGTTGTCACCTGTCCCACGTTGGCCACTGGTCAGGCCTCACCGGTTTTGTCTGAGGCTGTTGCCAAATTAAGAAATGACATGAATGTTTTTAAAAACATAAGCAAATAGCTCATAAATAAGAGTTTGCTGATGCTATTCACCTGACCTTTATTTCACAAAAATTCAACTTGGATTCTTTTTTATTAGTTTTGCTTCCCCTATCAGTGCTAATAATTGATAATTGAAAAATCTTGGTTGTGGGTCGTTAAGTTTTTTTTCGGCTTCTTAATGGGGGCATGCCAGAAAAAAAGAACTGAGAATCACTGCATTAGTATGACAAATATTCGGCAAGATTTTTAGCTTTTGGGTAGTCAGTTCTCAATAGCTACAGAGTTCCTGTTGAATCATTTTGAAAAGCCCATTATAAGACTTTAAAAATGTCCCTGAATGATTTTGAATCACCCGCTGACTGCACAAAATAATTCTGTTTTATTTATAAAGTGACACAAAGGAATAAAAGTCGTGAGTGTGTGAGTGTGAAGGCAGGGATGAGCAAAGAAATCTGGGCTTCAAGTACAAAGAAGATAATCATCAATGATATTTTAGACCTATTTAAATAAATGATGCTGTAATAGTTTTGATAATTATTGCACTATGATTATGATCTATGGAGAGAGAATAAGAAATTATTGGCAACCCTGATGTAATAGTCCTAAAACATGTGGAAGCTATTGCCTTCATGAGACATATTTATCTAAGCATCTGCCGCAAATACTTACATTCATAACTATTATATCTTTAAAACACACCACATGAACTCAACATGTACCACGTTTGCATGTTTTAAAAATGTATTTCACTGTAAGATGAAATCCAATGAAGCTTATTGTCCTTAATCACAATGTCCCTCTCAGTTATGTCATACATACATTAAACCATTAAGCGGTGCAGTGGCTCCTTCTCATTGTTCTCATTGCTATTACAGGAGAAGTGCACTCAGGGGTATTCAGAGCCACTGAAAGCAGACCACGACCAACCATTCATGCTCGTACAACGTCACTTCAGCCCCATACTTGTTAGGTAGAGATCAAAAAGGCAGAAAACATCCCACACTGACAGGAGTGTAAAAATACCCTCATGAAGACTTTTCTATTCTCCAGCTAATGCACAAAACATTAGAGAAGTATTCAACATATTTGTTTCAGACTGAAGGGCCTCTCTGTTCTGTCACAACTATGAGGAGGAAGTAAGTTGCAACCTCGACTGTTTCATTTACATGTTAAAGGCAGCACTTAGAAAGAAGTGAGAGCAGTTTGAGCGGATACCTTTCTGTGCTGTCTGTCTAGCCGTACAGCGACCACACACCAGAAACTGACCTCAGTGACAGAGGAGAGAAGCAGGCTTGGGGAGCGAGACGAGGGGTGTCTCAACTTTGCTTCGAAATTACGTTCTGCCACACTTCTCTTATTCTGCATTTTAATTAATGTGACACAAATATGTGCCTTGCAGTCACAGCAGTTGTGTGTCAATTTTATACCTTAGTGAAGAAAAAATAGCACCAAAAATAATAATGCTGGCTGCAGGCAGACACTGACAAACTGTAATGGCTCAGTGAATCATTCCAGTGTAAGCATAAATGCACAGTACTAATTCACACAATTAATAGCGTCTCCCGGTGACGTAAGTGATAGGTTTTCATTCACCAGTGTAAAGCCACAGACATACAAAACATGT